ATCAGTTCCTTTTATAATTTTTGGCTATGCAAGCAAAGGCCTGTTACTAACCAACATGCAACACTTCATTTTAACAGCTCTAAGCTTGCCTAGGCTGTCAAGTTCTTGCATAATATCTTTGTGTGCATGTACTTAACTGTACATGGCAATGATGGCATTTTGAGGATGCTTTTGCCTATTCAGACCCATTTTACAAATTCACTACTAATTTACCTTTGACTACAATTATTATAACTCGCCACAAAAATTTTGAGTTGGTTTTCTGATAACGTACATGTTTGTGAATGTATGCTTGTTAGTACGAAGTAGTAGCTTATAGTACTATATTAGTATTTGATAATGATATTGGTTTAGTGTTGAAATGTAGTTCAAACACAAGTTTTGATATATAAGTTGTCTAATATCATCTATGAAGTAGTGATATGACTCTTAATCTTAATGTACATGTAAAACCCCCAATCTCCAGATATTTTATTGCTTATCAGCATTGCCAGTTTATTAGCCCACTCCAATTTGATCTGTTTCACTGGCGGAGAGGGCAGGTAGCCTCATTACAATTTTTTTATCATTGAAATTTTTATTTGCCAATGCGGGCGTGAAAGGTGAATATATGAATGTAATTGGAGTTGACTTAACTGTACGTTTCATTCTTCTTTTACCTTGCATGTGTATGTTATGTACCAAAATTAATGATTAATGCAACAAGTCATGCTTTTAGGCTTGCCTAAGCTCTGATTTAATAGCATCACAATGTGGCTCACGCATATTCCATGCTGTCACGTTATCTCTGTGTAATGATGAATGAGTGAAAAAAATCTACATGTACTAATGTCTATGACTGCTAATTTATACATACATATGCTGCAATTGATATTGATTACTCAACCCTGACCCTGGCCTTTTACTTGTATAAGAACTTGTGCCGTTTCAGTACATTGTTTTACTTATTGTTTTAATAGTAATATATATGAATAACAATTCCTCTTAGTGAAACTTGTGGAATCCATTATTTTATAATTTGGTGAAATTTATCACATCTTGCTTAAAATAAATTTGCTGTTCATTGACATTATTACTTAATGGCACTTCCTTTGTGTCTCAGTCACATGCAATTCACCACAACACTTCTCACTTTTCCGAATACTCTTGTCTCCTCTCTGTCTCTCTCTCTCTCATTACAGATGCTCTCATTAGCTCTTGTTGTTCACAGAGACTCGTGGCAGGTAATGATGATATTCATTATTATTTTACGTAGCTACATGTACATGTATGTTGTACAATGTAGATAGTTTGGAGTGCTTAATTTGGGTGAATTGCTGTGTGCCCATTGATCTCTTATTTAATCATAAAATCTCTCTTTTCTCTCTCTTCCTTTCCTCCATAAAGGAATGACACACGAGTGATATGCATTGTGTTGGATTTGGTGACTGTTATGTTGGAGTGTGGCGTGAAGAGACTTGGGGACATTAAATCACTGAGAGTTCTCATGCAAG